GGAAGTGGGCTGTAGTCCACGAAAGCTTGTGCTCTAATAAATTTGTTAGTCTCTAAGGTGCCACAAGTACTCCTGTTCTTTTTACTGTAGTAGCTGAGACTGAGTGCCTCTTAATTGCTAATGGATTTTATCTCCCCAACACTTCTGGCAAATATTACCCCCATTTTACAGGAAGGGGGCAGAGGAACAGGATAGATTAAGTAAATTTCCCAGCATCACACGGGAAGTCTCTGGCTGAATGAGAAGAAGTCTGAACCTCAGGCCAGGGCCCCAGCCTCTAGAGCATAATTCTTCTTGTGACCTCCCTCTTGAGTGCCTCTGACTAGGAGGGATATTTGAGGCTTCATCCAATAGGGAACCCCCGGGGGGGGGGGGTTTCCTAGCAGGGGTGTTCACACCAGAACATGTTATCCATTTGCCAGGGAGAACCAGCCGCCCATCACCTTTTACAGTCTCCTTCCTGAAGCTGGCAGCCTGACTCCCAGCCAGAGCCTCTTTGCTTGAAATGCACCTCCCAGGGCGAGATTTGAACGGGGAGCCCAACTCGCCTCCGGGGAAGGCTGGTCCCTCCCGCCAGCCTGGGGGGTGTGTGAGGCGGAGGGGTGGGCGTTGGGAAGCGCTGAGTGCACGGAGCCCCTTTTGCTAGAGCCAGGCAGCGCCAGCGGCCCCACCCTCCCCTCAGTTGGCAAGATTTGCAAAGATCTGTGCAACCCCGGATTCCTGGAGCTGCGGGGGGAGACTCCTGCCCCCCCCCCCCACGCTGTCTCGCGCACACACACACACACACACACACACAGCAGGAGCCGGCACGTGGGCGCTGCTGCTGTTTGCAGCCAGCCTAGCGCCTTCCCTCCCAGTGTTTGCCAGGAGCCCGGCCAGCCAGCACCGGGAGTGAGCGCCACCGGCCCAGGCGGGCAGAGAGGAGGGGGACCCCGGCAGCGAGAGGGGGCTCAGTGACCGGGAGAGAGCGGGACCCCCCCCACCCCATGCGTGCCCCCCCCGAGCGAGCGCGCCTGCCAGGCAAAGCCCCGCTGCCCCCGGCCTGAATGCATGTAGGCGCCGGCTGCATGGACGCTCCGGGGAGGATGCTCGGGCTATAGGCACCTGCCCCTGCTCGCGGCTCGGGGCCCCGGGAGGAGAGCTCGCCCCCGTGCTGCCCCAGGCATGATCTCCTAACGGGGCTGGCTTCGTCTCTCTGGCGCCTTCCCCATGGAATTAGCTGCGGTCGCCGGCCGGAGCTCGTGAGCCTGGGCTGCCCGCCGAGCGGGGACCGGTCCCCGGGGTGAGTACCGCGCCGAGCACCCTGGGTCCCTCGGGCAAGAGAGCGCTGCCTGGCCGGGCGCCCCCCACCCCCGGTTCCCGTCCCAGCCCGCCGCCTTGCCTGGACACTTTCGGAAGTTTTTGCCCGCCCGGCGTTAGCGTTGCAGCCTCCCTCCCAGGCTTCCGCGGGGAGCCGCTGCAGCGCCCGGGGGTGCTGCGTGGAGGGAGGCTAGCGGCTCCCGGAGGGTGGGCTCGGCATAGGGTGACCAGACAGCAAGTGTGAAAAATCCGGACGGAGGTGGGGGGTAATAGGAGCTGATACAAGAAAAAGACCCCAAAATCAGGACTGTCCCTATAAAAATGGGACATCTGGTCACCCTAGCTCGGCATCCCAGCCGCCTCCCTTGGCGTGGCGACAGAGCAAAGTGCGCTGCCCCCCAGCAAATCTCAGCCTGGCTTTCCCCGGGCTAGCAGCCCTGGGCTGCATTGCCAGGCAGCCTGCATCCCCTGGCAGACCCTTAGAGATAGCCCAGGTGGGTCTGTGCCTTAACAGGTCTGGAGCAGGGGTACACGTACCCCCAGAGAGCTTCCAGCGGGGACAGCCACTCAGCTAGGTATCTGCCTGGCTTTACAACAGGCTACATGAAAAGCACGAGCAAAGTCGGGGCAAACTAAAATTTCATACAGACAATGACTTGTTTCTCCTGCTCTGTATGCTATACACTGACTTGCAAATACAAATATTGATACTGATTTATTTTATAATTCTGTGGTAAAGATGAGAAAGTCAGCAATTGTTCGGTACGGGTGTGGCGGTGACACTTTCGTATTTTTCGGTCGGATTTTGTAAGCAAGTCGTTTTTTAAATGAGGTGAATCTTGGGGGCATGCAAGACAAATCAGACTCCTGAAAGGGGGACGGCAGCCTGGAAAGGTTGAGAGACACTAGAGCATAGGGTGTACTTTGCTAGTGATCAGTGGAGACAGTGCAGGAGAGAAGTAGACTGCAGAATGGCACTCATTAGAGGCAGGTCATGCCGGCTGAATATTAAAAGTGTGTGTGTGAGTGTCAGTCAGAGAGAGAGAGTTGGCAGTGGAGGAGCAGCAGGTGAAATGAGTCAGGGGTGGGGCTGAAGTCACTGTCAGTGGGCAAACTCTTGTACCTTGGCACACAGCAAGGGACGCATGGCTCTGGTTATTCCAGCCACTGCACAGCTTTTGGAAGGATGAAGCAATGGTTCTGATTGGCTTGGCAGTGACCAACAGGTGATGTGTTGGCAACTGATCATTCTGCGTTCCTCGGCGGCAGTGCGGGGGAAAGGGTTCTTGATTGACACCTGCCACTGCTTTTATGTAGTATCTTGAATGGACAAGGAGATGTGTGCTTTCCCTTCCGATTGACTTGTTCTAGGCTGTGTGCTGTCCAGATGTCATTGTCCTGATGGTGTGATGCGAACAGCAAACTCCCCGTTGAATCACTTTAATTGTTTTTGCAAGGATGACATGAACTTCAGAGCTGCTGAGACACCATTTAGATGGCACAAGAGAAGATTGCAGATTGGTGTCTTATAAATGTAATGTGTGTTTTTTCCTTGTATCGCACAAATGTATCCAATAGGGAGAATAATGGACTTTGAATCATGAACCACAGCATTTCAGGAGCTTGTTGGTTGCATTGATACGACACTTAATAATTTTTGGGTGACTTTTCTGAAAGTGCAACGGCTATTCTAGCAGATACTCTTGAATCTGTAGCAGTAAGAATGACTATTGAAGTGCCTTTATTTTAATTTCATTTGTAAATTCAAGATCTAAAAGGTAAAAAAGCTCAAATACTATAATCATGTGGTTGTGCAGCCCCTAACTCCCTTGAGTCAGTTGTCTTCTGTTAAGTCAGCTGTTGAAAACACACCCATTCACATGATGGTATCTCAGATTTTTTTGGAGGGCCGGGGTGTGGGGGCAGAAGGGGAAGGGTTCAAATTCAGTTGTCCAGATTAAACCAAATGTAATTGCTTAGTATTGGGCAAGGTTGATAAATGAACCACTAAATCAGCACCTACGTGGTGTCTCATTGAAAAGAAAAACGAGCAATTCTGAGCCATATTTGGGCAGCGTAGGTCAGCCACAAACAGCTTTCTGAACTAGATACGCATGCTAGCAGGCATGCCTGTTCTGTGATATCATACAGGTAAGCATAGAAATCTGCTCACATGACCTGCACTCCAGGAGCATGTTCTGAAAAGGACCCTATATAGTCAGTTGCTGTAAACTGGTTTAGCTCCATTAACTTCAATGGAGCTACCTTGCTTTACACCAAATGAGTATCTGGGCCCGTATTTCTAGCCGCCTTGCTTAGAAAGAGCTTTTATTTTGAGTGTTAGTAGAGACAAAATGATAGTGACTTGAGAGAGATAAGAGGTGTCATTTTGGCTCAGTACAATCAAGATTGGGTGTAGTAAAGGAGTCTCATCTGTCAGCAGTACATTATAAAAACAGCTTCATTTCTAATCTCTTTAATTAGAGCAGATACAGATGTTACAATATTCTGTTTTGCCGTTGGAAAATGGGCTTTGTCTTAAGTTCTTAAAAGTTCTCACAGTGGAATATAACGAAGAGTTTGACTTTATTCACACTTGCTATTTGTAGCTTCCGGTAATTTTTACTGTTCGGTCTTAAGAATCATAGATTGTATAGTATTAATGTATTCTATTTGCAACTTTTATTAATTTCTCTGTTAACTGCAAAGACTTTCTTTGCAAAAAAAAATAAATTGTTTTTTGGGAAAAAAAGTTACCATGACAATTTTCTTGTTTTGCCAACACTCAGTGTTACAAACAATGTATAGAGCTGATAAAATGGGGGGAGATTTGTCAAAGGCCCAAAGAGGAGTTAGGTTCCCTGACTTTCACAGGGAATGTGACTGTGGTGAGCAGCTGCACCTGAACCAGTGCTCTGATCACTGCAACTCCGAATGGTTGCCCTGCAGCACACCTGACTATGAGAATTGTGCCCAGTTGATAGATGGGGATGGGCTGGAGAGAATTAAAAGGCTAATTAACTCATTAGCCCAAATGGTACAAAGGACACAGGAAGGCAGCGCAAAGGAGTGAGAGGGAAGTTGGCTTTTAGAGCCAGAGCCATGAGAGAGCGCTCCCCTCCTTGCCTTAGGAGCGGAGGGCTCCGTGTTACTGTTGGGATGAGGCTACATAGTGTATAAAGGCAGTGGAAAAGAACACTGTAAACAAATTGCACAAGGTGTTGTGCTAGAAGACAGTCTCCCAGCGTTTTGTGGGGCTCCAGGGGAGGGAGGAGTGAGTCTGCTCTGCTACAGGGATGCAAGCATGTACGTTCCCTTGGTGATTTAGAAAATCTCAATACCTCAGAATAGAGCAAGAAAGAAATCCTACAAGCTTTCGGGCAACCAGTGTCTCCGGTTCAGATGTTTACAGTTATACGATGTTTGCTTTCCTTATAACATACCTATAGTGCACGAGTGACCATGATGTACGTTGATACAATACACATGCGTTATAAAGGGGGTGCGTTAAAAGGTGCTTGATGGAGAGAGATAAAGAGCATATTGTACGCAGTGGCACAGATGGGTTGTGCCTGACCCTCAGAAAGAGGAAGGTTCTGTATATGGAGATGCCTTTATATATCTATAGTATGTGATGGGACCTTGTCCTCTCTTTCTTGTGAGCTAATACATCTCCAGATGTTCTCTGTGCGTCAACAAAACCCAATTATAACTAAATAAAAACTAGTCTAATTGCCCTTAAAAATCAGTATAACACTTCCTTAACTGAAAGATTGTTATATGCTTTATACGGTTATTTTGTTGTCTTTCTTGTCATTTTTCTTTGAAATCGTAATGCATTCTTTGCTACCGGTAAATGGTAACTCTATGCTGGGCTAATCTGAGAAGGAACTGATATTTCATTGAACTGTTTTGATGACTTTGGAAGAAGTATATTAGGGACTAATGTGCATTGATAAAACCTCTGGGGCACATATCTGGCATTGAAGCTTTTTAGGGGAAGATTACTTTCCAAGCCATCTACTTCTGCCTTTATTACTCCTGAGGGAATTCTGTGCCTAAGAAATTAAAATTCTGCATGCACTATTTTAAAATTCTGCACATTTTATTTGTCAATAAATACAGGGGCATGTTGGGGAATTCCGGGTGCAGGGGCAATTGAACTCTGCGGGGGGGGGGGTCCAGATGAAGGTGGTCGGGACTCAGCAGGGGAATCTAGGTGTATGGCGTTTGGCATGAGGGTTCAGGTGTAGCTGGTTGGGGCTTGGTGGGGTGGGGGTCTGGGTGCCAGGGGCTCGTTGGGGTGGGGCTCATCATGGTGGGGGTTCAATGGGCCTGCTTAATGGGGGAGCCCCCGCTGCTGCTTCCGTGTGGATGCCGCGTGCCAGGCTCCCAGTTCCCCAATCCCCTTCTCTTTCCCATCCCATCCCCTTCCCCACTGTCTCCTGCCCCTATCTCCCTTCCCTCACTCTTATATCCCCCTCCCCCTGCCCTATCCCACTGCATCTTCCAGCCCCCCCCTTTTCCCCATTTCCTCTGCCCCGTCTTGCCCTGCCCCACCACGGGCACTCACTGTTGTACAGAAAATAGGAGGACT